AGATTTGTAGGCTTTTTACACTATAACTTACCAGTAAGATATGGTGTTTTTGGATACTTAGGCTATTTACTTAATAAATTACTTGCAAGATGTTGCGTTCTCTGATATATAGGCTTTTTACACTATAAATTACCGGTAAGATATGGTGTTTTTGGAAAATTAGGGTATTTAGTGAATAAATTACAGATAAGATGTTGCGTTCTTAGATATATAGGCTTTTTACACTATAACTTACCGGCAAGATATGGTGTTTTTGGAAAATTAGGCTTTTTACTCAATAAATTATGGGTAAGATGTTGCGTTATGCGTTTTACACTATAAGTTACCTATAAGATATGGTGTTTTTAGAAAAATTGGCTATTTAGTCAAAAAATTACGGGTAAGATGTTGCCTTCTCAGATATATAGGCACTTTACATTACAACTTACCGATAAGACATGGTGTTTTCCGAAAAATATGCAATTCACGTAATAAATTACGGGTAAGATGTTGCGTTCTCAGATATATAGGCTTTTTACACTATAACTTACCGGTACGATATGGTGTTTATAGAAAAATAATCTATTTACTTAATAAATTACGGGTAAGATGTTGCGTTCTTAGATATATAGCACTTTACACTATAACTTACCGGTAAGATATGGTGTTTTTAGAAAAATAGACAATTCACTAAATAAATTACAGGTAAATGTTTCGTTCTCAGATATATAGGCCTTTTACACTATAACTTACAGTTAAGATATGGTGTTTTTGGAAAATTAGGCTATGTACTTAATAAGTTATGGGTAAGATGTTGCGTTCTTCGATATATGGCTTTTTACACTGTAACATACCGGCAAGATATGGTGTTTTATGGAAAATTAAGCTATTTACTTAATAAATTAAGGGTAAGATGTTGCGTTCTCAGATTTATTGGCTTTTTACACTATAACTTACCGGTAAGATATGGTGTTTTTGGGAAATTAGGCTATTTACTTAATAAATTACTTGTAAGATGTTGCGTTCTCTGATATATAGGCTTTTTACACTATAACTTACCGGCAAGATATGATGTTTTTGGAAAATTAGGCTATTCACTTAATAAATTATGGGTAAGATGTTGCGTTCTCAGATTTATAGGCTTTTTACACTAAAACTTACCGGTAAGATATGGTGTTTTTTGAAAATTAGGCTATTTACTTAATAAACTTACTTGTAAGATGTTGCGTTCTTTGAGATATAGGCTTTTTACACTATAACTTCCCGGTAAAATATGGTGTTTTTTGAAAATTAGGCTATTATTTAATAAATTATGTGTAAGATGTTGCGTTCTAAGATATATAGGCTTTTTACACTATAACTTACCGGTAAGATATGATGTTTTTTGAAAATTAGGCAATTTACTTAAAAATTACGGGTAAGATGTTGCGTTCTTAGATATACAGTCTTTTTACCCTATAACTTACCGGCAAGATATGGTGTTTTTGGAAAATTAGGCTATTTACTTAATAAATTAAGGGTAAGATGTTGCGTTCTCAGATTTATAGGCTTTTTACACTATAACTTACCGGTAAGATATGGTGTTTTTGGAAAATTAGGCTATTTACTTAATAAATTACTTGTAAGATGTTGCGTTCTTGATATATAGGCTTTTTACACTATAACTTACCGGCAAGATATGGTGTTTTTGGAAAATTAGGCTATTTACTTAATAAATTACGGTAAGATGTTGCGTTCTCAGATATATAGGCTTTTTACACTATAACTTACCGGAAGATATGGTGTTTTTGGAAAATTAGGCTATTTACTTAATAAATTACTGGGTAAGATGTTGCGTTCTCTGATATATAGGCTTTTTACACTATAACTTACCGGTAAGATATGGTGTTTTTGGAAAATTAGGCTATTTACTAATAAATTACGGTAAGATGTTGCGTTCTTAGATATATAGGCTTTTTACACTATAACTTACCGGCAAGATATGGTGTTTTTGGAAAATTAGGCTATTTACTCAATAAATTATGGGTAAGATGTTGCGTTTATGCGTTTTTACACTATAAGTTACCTATAAGATATGGTGTTTTTAGAAAATAGGCTATTTAGTCAAAAAATTACGGGTAAGATGTTGCCTTCTCAGATATATAGGCACTTTACATTACAACTTACCGATAAGACATGGTGTTTTCCGAAAAATATGCAATTCACGTAATAAATTACGGGTAAGATGTTGCGTTCTCAGATATATAGGCTTTTTACACTATAACTTACCGGTACGATATGGTGTTTATAGAAAAATATCTATTTACTTAATAAATTACGGGTAAGATGTTGCGTTCTTAGATATATAAGCACTTTACACTATAACTTACCGGTAAGATATGGTGTTTTTAGAAAAATAGACAATTCACTAAATAAATTACAGGTATAATGTTTCGTTCTCAGATATATAGGCCTTTTACACTATAACTTACAGTTAAGATATGGTGTTTTTGGAAAATTAGGCTATGTACTTAATAAGTTATGGGTAAGATGTAGCGTTCTTCGATATATTGGCTTTTTACACTGTAACATACCGGCAAGATATGGTGTTTATGGAAAATTAAGCTATTTACTTAATAAATTAAGGGTAAGATGTTGCGTTCTCAGATTTATTGGCTTTTTACACTATAACTTACCGGTAAGATATGGTGTTTTTGGGAAATTAGGCTATTTACTTAATAAATTACTTGTAAGATGTTGCGTTCTCTGATATATAGGCTTTTTACACTATAACTTACCGGCAAGATATGATGTTTTTGGAAAATTAGGCTATTCACTTAATAAATTATGGGTCAGATGTTGCGTTCTCAGATTTATAGGCTTTTTACACTAAACTTACCGGTAAGATATGGTGTTTTTGAAAATTAGGCTATTTACTTAATAAATTACTTGTAAGATGTTGCGTTCTTTGAGATATAGGCTTTTTACACTATAACTTCCGGTAAAATATGGTGTTTTTTGAAAATTAGGCTATTATTTAATAAATTATGGGTAAGATGTTGCGTTCTAAGATATATAGGCTTTTTACACTATAACTTACCGGTAAGATATGATGTTTTTTGAAAATTAGGCAATTTACTTAAAAAATTACGGGTAAGATGTTGCGTTCTTAGATATATAGTCTTTTTACACTATAACTTACCGGCAAGATATGGTGTTTTTGGAAAATTAGGCTATTTACTTAATAAATTAAGGGTAAGATGTTGCGTTCTCAGATTTATAGGCTTTTTACACTATAACTTACCAGTAAGATATGGTGTTTTTGGAAACTTAGGCTATTTACTTAATAAATTACTTGCAAGATGTTGCGTTCTCTGATATATAGGCTTTTTACACTATAAATTACCGGTAAGATATGGTGTTTTTGGAAAATTAGGGTATTTAGTAATAAATTACAGTAAGATGTTGCGTTCTTAGATATATAGGCTTTTTACACTATAACTTACCGGCAAGATATGGTGTTTTTGGAAAATTAGGCTATTTTACTAATAAATTATGGGTAAGATGTTGCGTTCTAGATTATGGCTTTTTACACTATAAGTTACCGGTAAGATATGGTGTTTTTAGAAAATAGGCTATTTACTCAAAAAATTACGGGTAAGATGTTGCCTTCTCAGATATATAGGCACTTTACACTATAACTTACCGATAAGACATGGTGTTTTTCGAAAAATATGCAATTTCACGTAATAAATTACGGGTAAGATGTTGCGTTCTCAGATATATAGGCTTTTTACACTATAACTTACCGGTACGATATGGTGTTTTTAGAAAAATAAGCTATTTACTTAATAAATTACGGTAAGATGTTGCGTTCTTAGATATATAGCACTTTACACTATAACTTACCGGTAAGATATGGTGTTTTTAGAAAAATAGGCTATTCACTAATAAATTACGGGTAAGATGTTTCGTTCTCAGATATATAGGCTTTTTACACTATAACTTACAGTAAGATATGGTGTTTTTGGAAAATTAGGCTATTTACTTAATAAGTTATGGGTAAGATGTAGCGTTCTTCGATATATTGCCTTTTTACACTTACCGTAAGAGATGGTTTTTTAGAAAAATATGCAATTCACGTAATAAATTACGTGTAAGATGTTGGGTTCTCAAATATATTGGCTTTTTATACTATAACTTACCGGTACGATATGGTGTTTTATAGAAAAATAAGCTATTTACTTAATAAATTATGGGTAAGATGTTGTGTTCTTAGATCTATAGACACTTTACACTATAACTTACCAGTAAGATATGATGTTTTTAGAAAAATAGGCAATTCACTAAATAAATTACGGGTATAATGTTGCGTTCTCAGATATATAGGCCGTTTACACTATAACTTACAGTTAAGATATGATGTTTTTGGAAAATTAGGCTATTTACTTAATAAATTACGGGTAAGATGTTGCATTCTCAGATATATAGGCTTTTTACACTATAACTTTTCGGTAAGATATGACGTTCTCAGAAAAATATGCAATTCACTCAATAAATTACGGGTAAGATGTTGTGTTCTCAGATATATAGAAACATTACACTGTAACTTATTGGTAAAAGATAGTGTTTTTAGAAAAATAGTCTATTTACTCAATAAATTACGAATAAGATATTGCGTTCTCAGTTTTGTAGACACTTTACACTATAACTTACCGATAAGATATGGTGTTCTTAGAAAAATATGCAATTTGTTGATGTTCTTTTTGGGAGGTCAACTTATATAGAGGTGGAATGGTGGATGATGGGTGAAGGTGAGAACCTTCAGCATGTGTGTGAAGATTTGGGCAAGTGATAAATATAAAGAAGACAAGATATACGTGGTTTCACCCTTAATGAATGGGCTACGTCCACAGAGAAGCCCATGATTAAAGATAAAGCCCAGCCCAGGGATCAAGAAGAGAGTCCAAGGCCCAAGGGTCAAGATTCAAGACCCTTTTCTAAGTAGAGAGTGGTCTTCTTTTATAGGTGAGGGAGAGTCTTCACTTCTTGTAGTTTTTCGATGTGGGACTCCTCTTGCTTTGCTTAGAGTTGTAACTTGTGGTAATGCTTCTTTGGCTAAGGTGATGACCTCTCAAAGAATGGCACGTGGATGATCTAGCCAAGCTAGTTGCTCGGTTAGTTACGGTACCAACAGCAGTCCCCCAAGTTTGCGAGTAAGAAGGTACTTCTTGGTTGGGGACTTGTAATTTTAAGTGCACTGGCCGAGCAACGCCATAGTTCATCTTCCAAGCTATATAGTGCACTGCCCATAGTCCCTCAAGTCCCTGGGTAAGAAGGACATTTGGAAGGGAGAGAACTTGGCACGAGGGTGCCGAAGATGAAGGGGTTGCCGAAGGCATAAAGTTGCATGTCACAGGATGAAGTGGCTGGGCATGAGGGTGTCTAAGGCATAAGAATTGCATGTCACAAGACGATGGGCCTAGGCACGAGGGTGCCAGAGGTAAATGACTTGCATGTTGCAAGACAATGTAGCTAGGCACAGGGATGCCAAAGGCAAAGGGGATGTCAAAGGCACAAAGCTTGCATGTCGCAAGGCGATGTGCCTAGGCACGAGGGTGCCGAAGGCGACACAAACCTTGCATGTTTGTAAGGCGATGTGCTTGGGCACGGGGGTGCCGAAGGTGACACAAGGTGTGGCTAGGCACGGGGGTACCGAAGGCGACGCAAAGCTTGGATGTCACAAGGCGATGTAGCCAGGCACGAGGGTGCCGAAGGCACAAAGCTTGCATGTCGCAAGGCGATGTGGCCAAGCACGGGGGTGTCGAAGGCACAAAGCTTGCATGTCGCAAGGCGATCTGGCTAGGCACGGGGGTGCCAAAGGCGACACAAGGCTTGCATGTCGCAAGACGATGTGGCTAGGCACGGGGGTGCCGATGGCGACACAAAGCTTGCATGTTGCAAGGTGATGTGGCTAGGTACGAAGATGCCGAAGGCGACACAAAGCTTGCATATCGCAAGGAAAATTGCAAATGTGCCTTTTTTTTTCTTTTTTTTTCCTTTTGGTAGCTTGGGTAGCTTGGGTGTTTGGTGAGGCTTGTGGCCCTTTTACACGGCCCTTGCCGTTCGGCAAGGAGGTCAGGCTGTTTTGGAATTTTGTTTGCCCATGCTTCTGCAAGTAGGGATTTATGGGGCCGAGCCCTTGTGTTTTGGCATGAGTCTTTTGCTAGGCTTGGCTTAGACTACGTATGAAGCTTTCAGCATGCTGTGTTGCGCTGGCCATTACCTTCTTCCACATCGCAAGGTTTGTGCATGGTCAAGCCTTGCGCTCTTCTCCGCTTTGGTAAGTTAGAAGGGAGTTGGGTTGCGTGGCATTGAGGAGCTAGGCTGGGAATCAAGTGCTACCGTTCGAAAGGAGGTTACAGCCTGCTAGAGCACACCCTCGACTTCGGGGATTTGGATATGGTTTCGTGTTGTCACTGCTTCGGCAGCATAGGCCAAGTCTCACGGTGGTCCGAGGATCTTCGAGTATTGGGCACCGAGTCTGCAGCATTACCCTTGCCGAACGGCAAGGGTGGCTTGGGAGCCTTTTTGGAGGCATTCTTTGCTCCTTTGATCTAGGTCCTTGGTCTATCAGCAAGAGTGAAGGTCGCGAAGCCCAACGCCAACTGCATGTTGGATTCGTCGTCTCACTGTTTCAGTGCCTAACAGCTAAAACAAGCGAGTCTTTTCGTGAGAAGATTTTTCATGGTTCCTACCGTTCAGCAAGGCTGAAGGTTGTGGGGGCATTCGGCATCGGCAAGTCTCGGCTTTGGCAGCAGAAAGTCTCGGCTCGTGTTGTCACGGCTCTAGCAAGGGGTCTTCTCCGGTTCAGCAAGGTCAAAAAATGGAGGTTTCAACCAAGTGTGGCAAGCGCTGTGTAGTTGGAAAAGAACCTGCCGAACGGCAGGGGTGATTTGGAAATTTTTGAGGCCTCTCGGAGAATTGTGAAGGCTTCGACTGTAACACCCCGACTCCAAGTAAATTTCCAATTTAAAGTATTTAATCTAATTAAATGTGAATTTACGAAATTACCCTTGGGGTAGGGTATTTCGGTCATTTTCTTAATCCGGAAAGAGAGTTTGGGGCAGTGTTTGGTATTTTTGGATTGGTCGCATTGAGGTGAGTCCGTGGACGTGTGGTGGACTCGATTTGGATTTGTAACGAAATTTCGGCATTCAATTTACCTTCGATGGAAAAATCGTAATTAACTCGAGAAGGGTTTAGGTAAAAATCAGCTTTGCTTTCAGTTTTACCTCACTCTCACTCTTTCTCTCTTTCTCTCTACGCGAGCTCTTCTCCCTCTCTACGTAAAAACTCCAGAGTTACTGTTCACCCGAACAGAAAAATCCACGCTGCCACCACTTCCGGCCACCTCAGCCCTCGAGACCGGTCCCAAAAGCTTCGTCTCGACGTCCCGGTCAAGACCCAATAGCTTTCGTCGCCGGAAAACTCAAGAACAGCCGGCAATTGCAACTGGTTCGTTTCGAGATTTTCTCATTTCGGGATTTTCCAATCGTTGCGCCATCGTCTCCGCCGCCTTTTTCCGATGTTTGAGGTGAGGTTTCTTCCTCTCTATATCTGTTCTAGCTGCCTTTGGTTAGGATTGGATCTTTTTGCTGCGTAAAACCCGATTTGAGAAGTTAGGGTTTTGGCCGGTTTTCAATTCGAAATTCCGGCCAGTTCCCGGCGGTTTTGGGCTTGGCCGTAGTTGAATGAAGTGCTCCCCTAGTTGAGTAGGACCTGTAGCCGGGAGGGTGACTTGTGATTTGGAGATTTTCCGTCACCGGAATTTCTCTGCACAACCGCTTGCTGCCAGCGCTTGTGGCGGCGTGTGGGCAAGTGTGGTGGAGCTGCAAATTGTTCCAGTGTGATCCTTAGGTTGTCACGAGCGCGTAGGATTTCGTGGATCTCGATTCCGAGGTCGTTTGACTATCGAACGGATTATCGCATATTGTGCGTTATCCGGGTTCGATATGTTCCGACCGTTGAATCGTTTTCAAATTGAAGTATGTTACTCTAGACACCCTTAGGATCGTGTAGGATTCAACGGACTGAAAAACAAAGTCCCGTATTCTCCGAAAATGCCAACCCTAGGGTTAGGGTTTCAGTAACCGTCCAATCGTGTGATCGTGAGCGATCTAACCGCCTGTTTCAGACCAAACTTGCAGGACGTGTATCCTAGACCTTGTAAAACCTATAGGAACTCCCGGATTGAAAAACGGAGGTCGTGGGTCCCGTGGGCCCGGTTGACTCGAATTGGAAAGTTTGATCGTCGGTTGACCGAGTGTCTTCCGAGGCTGTTTCATCGTGCGAATTGGGTAGTTGGACCCTAGAACACCTCTTTCCTCGTACTCACTGGAAACCTGAGAAGCTAGAGTTTTATTTTAAAGTTCTGTTTCGAAGCGCTTGATGTTAATCGCATTTTCGTATTCTGAATCAGGTACTCCGACCCCGTATACGCAGCAGGCGGGACCCTCTCAGGGTCAAACTGTGTGGGACTACTTGTGAGTGGACTTTTCTTTCAAAACTTCAACATGACTTTATTCATGGAAAATATGGCATATTGCTTTATTTTGTTTATTGAATATGGTATATATTCGAATGTGAAATTCGTGGTTTTCATAAAGTTTTGATAATATGTTTGGGTTTTGAGAATATATACACATATGGTTATGTGTGGGGTACTTGGGAGGTTAATATGAGTTTATGTAAAGGGGTGATTATTGATATGTCTGTTTGGAGTGCTTTAAGCACTATCCTATGTACCTCATTGGATCTGAAACTTGATTACTGATACTGAATACACTTGGAATTATTTGAGTTCAGGACATCCTTGAGGGGATGTTGCTGTGGACCTTGGATTTGGGGTAGTCTGCACGCGTAGGACTGGTATTTCAGGCGTACAAGCTTTGACTGTGTCGGCTGTACGTGCTGGCTGAGAGTTAGTTCCCCAGTT